CTGTCTTGTGGAAGGAGCGCTGATTTAGTGCTCCTTCCAGGGACACCACAGGAGCGCCGCGGTGTGGAGGCTGCGTTCCCGCGGCGCTCCGTCCGGCGGCGTCTCCGGCGCCTCCGTCTGCTTCCCCCCACAGTCTCATTACTGTTGTTGCTGTTCTTACTGATGATTACATTTCCTCTTTTGCAGTTCTTACTGCCAAATGACTGAAACTGAATGACGTTGTCGCCTTTTCAGCACATTTGCTGTATTTTAAACTGTTTATATATGGCTGATGTTTTAAAAGTATCTTTATATGTTGGGATGGTGCCTTCTTTAATATCTTTAGTTTCATTGCAATTCCATATTTTATGTTTTTTCTAGGGAATGTAGGCATAACATGTCACAAACCATTTTAAATCTAATTCTTGGTAGCCCAGTTAGATGCTATGAACTGTTGGAGTAGGATGAGAATTGTATGAGAACAACAAGAAAAAGTTCAAATCCAAAGGCTGGGTCCAATTAGGGACATACATGGGCCAGCCTAAGACATTGGCGGACTGAGGTGGAAGAACGCATCCCTTGCTGAATCAAAATTCAAGATCTCTGAAGTTGATTTGATGCCTAAGGCAGAAAATTCCACAAGTGCCTTTTCCCCTCCCTGGCAGTAAAAAGTGTAATAATTAAATGATCAGCTTGCTGCCATTTCAAGACACCCAGAATCAGCTGTTACAGGGCCTTTGCAGACTGCCAGAAGTAGTGCACATTAAATTGAGGCACTGCCCTGGCTCAGTGCTAGGGAATCATGGGAACTGTAATTTATTGTGGCACCAGAGCTCTCTGACAGAGAAGGCTCAATGTCCCAGAAAAAAATACAATTCCCATGATTCCCTAGCACTGAGCCAGAGCAGTTAAAGTGGACTCAATTTGCACTATTTCTAGCAGTCTGCAAAGGCCCACGGTCTGCCTAGCAGTTGAGCCAGCTCAGACTCTGGCTGAGTGAAGAAATGCATGCTTGAAACGGAGACTTCACAATTAATGTCCTAGGCTGAGAAAAATAAATATACATATAACAAGAGTAGGAGTTGCAGGGGGGAAATGAGTAAGCAGCGTGTGTGAATTTAGCCTTCCACTTTTACCTATATTTTCAGGGAGAGAAAGAAGCATTTGTAGGATTTCTTGCCCAAACACTTAATACTTGGGTGGCTTTTAAGACCATGGTTTGGCACAGGATTTGCTCTTCTACCTCAAGAATGTCTTGGAACAGCTTTTCTAGGAAACTGGACCATGTGTGTTCCTACTTGACTCAGCTGTTGGGCTTGGGTTTCTGTTGCTGTTCGGATTTATTTTGTCCAGAGTCTGATTAGAACTGTGTAATCCTATTTCTGGCCTTCAGATTAGGCCTTTTACCCCAAGGAAACATTCAAGCATCAGTCACTGATGTACGCATGGAATAAGTAGAAAACCAAAGCATTTTTCTTACCAAACAGTTTCTAGAAGCATAGTTGCTTAGTCTGTTGTGGAAAACAACAACAACAACAACAACAAACAACAATAAAGGGTCTTGTGGCACTTAAAGACTAATAATTATTGTTTGGCAGAATTTTTTGTGGATTGAAGTCTTCATCAGAAACACAAATTGTTGCATTAGATAGGTCAATCACATGCTACTTAATATGAAAAAGGCCAAACTGTAAGCATGTGTAGTTGCAGTGCTCTTACTAGGGTTTCCATACAGAAAACTGGAAAGGGCTTTTATATCTTAATGTGTAGATGAGGGAATTTCAGCAGTTGTTGCTTGTCCTGCAACCACTTAACAAGCAACACGTGCTGAAATTCCCCCTTTTACACAACCATTAAAGGCACAAGAGACTTTCCAGGTTTCATTCTGGCCACCCTAGCTCTTAAGCACAAGAGACTGGTGAACAACACTGCACCGTGACACTGACAATGATTTCCTTTTTGTTGTTAAGAGGCTACTGTAATGAAATTGTATAGTAAAACTAATAAAGTGTACTACTGGAGGAGAAAGCAATAAAATATAGTTTCAGTGTGTGGAATGTGTGTCATTTGTTTATCCCTCAAATTGATGAGTTGTGGCTTTCATGTTTAATAGGATGGGCTGACACCTCTCCACTGTGGGGCACGAAGCGGCCATGAACAAGTTGTGCGCATGCTGCTTGATCGAGGAGCTCCTATTCTTTCCAAAACAAAGGTAATATGAAGCTTGGGATCTGAAGAGGAATATAATTTGAAAATAGCCAGCTATTTTAAAAAAAATTGTCGAGATGACAATGATCCCTTTCAAACATAAACTCTTGAGCAGAACTTAGAAAAGTTACTTTTTTAGAATAAATCTCCCAGAATCTGCTAGAATCTTCATGCTAGCTCAGGAATTGTGGGACATAAAGTCTTTAAACTCTACTATTGGTTGAACATTATTGTGATGTTGTGTGCCTTCAAGTTGTTTCTGACTGATGGCAACTTGAAGGTAAACTTAACATGAGGTTTTCTGGGCAAGATTTGTTTAGAGGATTGCCTTTGCCTTCTTGTGAAGCTGAGAGAGTGTAATTTGCCCAGGGTCACCTTGTGGATTTGTACCCTGGTCTCTAGAGTCATAGTCCAATGTTCAAACAACTATACCATGCTGATGGTTGAAAATTACTTCAGTGGAAATCTTCATCAGTCTTATTCAGTGAAGTCCCCCCCCCCCCCCCCCCCCCCCCCCCCCCCGCAGACTGAATTATTTGAAGTTCCATTTGCATTTGCATTTGCATTGTTCTTAGTATGCATTAATTGCTACCATAAGAACCTTGTGAGGTAGTCTGGTATAATTGTCCTTGTATTTCAGACAGAGGATGAGGTTGAAAGAGAGTGGATTGTCTGGTGCCATCTAGTGAATTCATAGCAGAGATATTTTCAAGAGAACATCATAGTTAAGATGTCCGTGAATTTGGTTCCTGCAGATGTTTTGGACTATAGTTCCTCTTTTCTGAATCATTAGCCATGCTGGCTGGGCCTCTGGGAGATCAAGTCCAAAACATAGGGAGGATCAAACATTTTCCAGGCCTTTCTTACCCAGTATCGCAGCTCCTTATAGGACTTAACTATGAAGCTGAGAAGAAGCATGATAAACATATACACATAGACTGCTATGTTATGCTCTCCTTTTTTTTCTCATACACACATCTGTGCAACACTTTCTTTCTTAAAAACTGTCATCTCCTTTCTGGACTCACTTGTCTTTCTCTGTTCCATGTAATAAACAGGTTTTTCATGATAAGACGTGTTTTTTTCCCCCCACTTTAAAACTCTAGCCAAGTACAGGTGGTTATTATTCAGATACTTTCAAGTAGGTATGACAGAATTATAATTGCCTGAAGTATTTATGTTTTTTTTTTCATACTTTCCCACTGTGAACTCTTGTCAAACAGGCTTTCCAGGTTTCAAGGTTTTGGCATTTCATGATCTCTGTGTTTAAAAATAGTAGTAGATAGAAAATTGTTTGCATGAACATGGAGACCATAATGCCTCTTCCTACTGCAGACATAATAAATAATAAGATGAGTAAGACGCTGACTGACGATTGCAAGGTCGGCAGATCAGCAGTTTGAGACCCAAGTGCCGTGTGACACAATGAGCTCCCATCACTAGTCCCAGCTTCTGCCAACCTAGCAATTTGAAAGCATGTAAAACTGCAAGTAGATAAATAGATACCACTTTGGTGGGAAGGTAACAATGTTCTGTGCAATGCTGGCCACAGGACCACGGAGATTTCTTAGGCAAAGTTGGCTCCATCGGCTAAGTAATGGAGATGAGCACCACCCCCTACAATTTGATAACCTTGTCAAATAGGAAACTTTTACCTTTTAATAGGAGTGTCTATAATTGATTATTTCATCTGCATTTAAAAAAGGTAAAAGCAAATGTTTCTCCTGAGGGAGCCAGCATAAGTGAAGACAAATATTTTTCACACTATGGAGAAAGTGAATATTTCTGCAAAGTTCTCGCCCAGTATTTTGCACATGATGAAATGTTTCAGAAAATTATCCTGTACAGAAATACATGAGATATTTTTGGTTTGAATCATTTATAGTGCAAAAAGATATCCACTTAGAACAAAATAGCAATCTTGCACAAAAAACCATGTGGTTATTTAAATTATCTGAGAGCTTGCATATTTAAAAAACATATCATTGTTGTGCAAAAACCCACCTGTATTTCTGCAAAGAATAATTTCTGCCAAAACTTTAGGTCGGATGTGCAAATACTTAGCCAAAACTGCATTGAGCTCTCATTGGTATTCTTCTGGGAAACCCATTTTTCAGCCCAGAAATGCAAAACAGTGAAT